AAGCAGCAAGTCTAATTATCTTCTGTACCCCCACTCAGCAATCTGGCAGCTGAATTCTGGGTTAGTTGTAGTTTCCAAGTCACTTTCGCAGGCTTAGGATGTCTTTTTGCTGTTCACATGTTTCTGCCTTTTGCCAGTCATATCAAAATAAAGTGTCAGGAACATTTGTGCTTCTGTTTCACAGAAAACAGATCTGGCAGGGTGAGAAGGCACCTTAGGTCAGTGGTAGAACATCTGCTTTGCATGCAGAAGGCTTGCAGGTGTAGCCGCTGGAATTTCCAGGTAAGGTTGGGAATATCCCCTATCTAAAACTCAAGAGAGCCACTGTTAGTCAGCGCAGAAAATATGGGTGTCACTCAGTCTAGGGCAGCTTCCTGTGTTTCTTGATAAAAATTGTGAAAGAAACACATACCAGAGAATCCACTATCTTAGGAGCCTCAGTGTTACAACGGCTCCACTCTAAAATAAGAATTCTCCAAAATGTAATGCAGGCATTGGCTTCTCAAATCTAACTCACAGTCCTGGATATGGCAACACATGACGCATATCCAGGCTCCAATTAGACCCCACTTCAATACTCTACTCTTATTTATGCTTATGCTACAGCTCCTTGAAGCAAAGGCACACACACACACACACACACACACACACACACACACACACACACGTTCTAGCAGCCTCATGGCTGTTACCTTCCTCTGCAAGATATGTTACCATTGAGCAACTAGCCAGGGGACATAAGCACCTGAGAAAGGAGAGTTTAGTCCCACAACACTGCCGCTCCGTTATACTGTTCCAAGAGTCCTGCTTCTTGTAGACGAATATGAATAAAAAGAGCTTTTGGCCTTGGGCAAAGCTCACACTGAAGGAGACAAGGATCTATTGATGTACGTCCCCCCCCCCTTAAGTAGGAGGACAAGGCTAGACCACTTTGAAGGGGATGCCTGGGCTAGAAGAGAGAATTGCATGGAGGTCATATCAAGAGTCACCAGTGTGGGTGGCTGTGTGGGAGAATTCATTAGATAATCAGCGGTACTTGGAAGAAAAAGGCAATTAGCAGCCAGCAAGTCTGCATCACAGCAGCAGTAGCAGCAACATTTGGTGAAGACTTTGGGCTAAGTCTATAACAACTCTGAAGTGGGCAGAAAGCAGCCCTTATATTTGTTTGGAAGGGAGTACCAAAACTGTCATTGATGGGGTTTCTACCACCTTCTCTGTTCAGGTTAAGCCTTCCCCAACCCCCTAATGGCCTTCCAGATGTCTTGGACTTTAATCACATCATCCCATGCTGCTGGAGCTGATGGGAGTTGTAGTCCACCTGGAGGACACCAGTTGGGGATGGCTGCCCTAGGTATACTCATTGACCTGGCACTGCTTTTCAAAAGGCAGGTTGCCAGGAGACCTTTCCCCCCACTTTCAGCTAATGGGGAGAACTTTCCTTTTACTACGTTGATTCACAGTTCTGTAACTTCCATGCTTGATCATGGCAATGCACACTAAATAGAGCTGCCCTTGAAGATGCTACAGAAGTTTCAGCCTAAGTGCAGTCCTTCTGACAGGTGTTGGAAGGCACAATCATTTCCAACCCGCTCTGTGTCAGGCCAGTTGCAAGGATTGCCAAATCACTTCTGGGTCCTGTTCAGGCTACACTTTAAAGGTTAAAGCCATTGACTTGGTGTAGGAACATCATGCTCCAAAGACCATCTCTGGAGCCCACTTGCTTGCTGTGGTCCTGCCAGAAAGCTCTACTGTGTGCTGTTTTTACAGTAAGCTATAACAGTAAGCCACCTTTTTGCTCTCTTTTCATAGTGACTGCAAGACCAGTTTCTTCTGGTTCACTTCTGGTTGATGTTCTTCTATGCCTGGCTAGCTTAGATAGTTGGATTTTGTTGTTGCTGTTGCTGCTGTTTTCATCTATATACTTTTCATCTCTATGGAAGACTGGTATATATATAAATAGGACTTCTAGGGCAACCTGGTGCCCTGCAGATGATTCTGGACTACAACATCACCATCCCTGACCATTGGCCATGCCGGCTGGGGCTGATGGAAGCTGTAGTCCAACAATGTATAGAAGGTGACAGGTCCCTATCTCTGGTTTAAGGGCTAAGCCAATTTGGGGGTGGACAGCTGAAAATAAATCTGGATCTAGAAAAAGGCTTTTGTCTGCCCTTGCAAATTCCTGTCCCTGTTGATATCTTTCAGGGGCAAAAATTAGCCCTGCTCTGTGGAACCCACAGTCTATGCAGAGCATGTCCTTGGCAAACCTGCCTTGTGTGCTGCAGGGTGGATATTGACACCTGCAGCTTGGCTGCTTCTTCCACGGAGTGATTCAGAGATTGAAGAAAACAAACAAAGGCTGCTCTAGCATGGAAATCAGAGCTATAGAAATTTCTCCCTCCTTCCACTGCCTTGAAAAAGTCAGCTTGCACTGCTGACTCAAGAAGGAAAAGGCCATGCTGTAACACAGCAAATGGGAGGGCTTTCCACCCCTAGGAGAGAGGCACGGTGTTGACATCGCAGTCAGGTTTAGGCTAATGTTGATGAATGATGACTCACCTCTGACTTCAGTTTTAGATCTCTCTCTATGTGTATACAGGTTGCAGAAGCCTGTAAGGCTATTCCTTGAAAGCCCAGGGCTGCCAAACCTGCAATGCAGACATATTTGGGGGTGCTTCTTCTCTAACAGCCCCTATTTGGGGTTCATTGCAGCACCAAGAATATGCTTTCTGTTCGACAGGAACCAGAAGAAGTGGTAGAGCATCTGCTTTGCATACAGGAGGTCCTGGGTTCAATCCCCAGCGTCTCCAAGTCAAACCAGAAAAGACCTTTGCCTCAAACTCTGGATAGCCACTGCCAGTCCCTGAGCAAAAGGGACCAATGATCTGGCTCAGGCAGTTTCCTGTGTTCCAGAATAATGCTGCATAAAGGACAATGGATGCATCCCTGGGGTCCTTATGGCACTTCCCTTTGGCTGAGTCTGAAATATATGCCAGGATGCATCACGTAAAAATGAGATGCATTTGTCAAGGGGGTTTCTTAGGAGGATGCACAGTTCCACTAAAGCCGCCATGTCCTCCAGGCATTGCCAGACCACACTTCCCACCCTTTCCTGACAATTGAGTATGCTGGGTGGGGCTGATGGGAACTGGAGTCCTACAACATCTGGAGGGCCACAGGTTAGCCAGCCCTGTGTTCAAGGTACATCCAAAGATCCATGGATGCCCCAAGGGATACATAGGTTCCTAACAGCAGCCCAGCCTTTGATGAGGACCAATCCCTATGGCATTGGGATGAGTACAGCTGGATCGCAGAAGCTTTGCTTCGCTGAGTCATTCTTAGCTGCAGAAGGGTTGGCACAGATTAGGCTAGCTACAGTCAGTCTCTGCAGTACCAGATGCTGGAAGTCATCAAAGGGAAGATGAGTTTCTTTTTGCATTTTCTAAATAGTGCGATGCTACATCTCATTCTCATTGACATGGCGGGGCAGGGGCTGTGGTAGGCTCAGGACCGAGAAGAAAAATTGTACCATAAGCTGTGTCACCGGTTGCTAGCTTGGGTGGCTTTTCAAAGGATTGGGCACTTATTGTTTATTTTCCTTACAACAGCATCCTGCCTTTCTTCCATAATGGAACCCAAGGCAGCATACATGAGGTTCCCAGGCTGCCTCCTGTCCAGGCACTGATCAGACCTTCAAGGTGGTGGCCCCTTGAGCCTTTGGACCACATGCAGTGTCAATGGCTATTGGCTGTGACAGTAAAACCAAACTTCTATGTTCAGTAACAGTGTGCTACACCCTTTACCTCCCAACCCAATTCAGCAGGGAGATATAGATAGATAGATGATAGATAGATAGATGAGGTACCTCGGGTTACATACGCTTCAGGTTACAGACTCTGCTAACCCAGAAATAGTACCTTGGGTTAATAACTTTGCTTCAGGATGAGAACAGAAATCGTGCTCCAGCGGCGCGGCAGCAGGAGGAGGCCCCATTAGCTAAAGTGGTGCTTCAGGTTAAGAACAGTTTCAGGTTAAGAACGACCTCCGGAACGAATTAAGTACTTAACCCGAGGTACCAATGTACACACACACACACACACAGAGAGAGAGAGAGAGAGAGAGAGAGAGAGAGAGAGAGAGAGATGGCTGTACTGTGCTGGCTGGGGCTGATGGGAGTTGCAGTCCAACAATGTCTGAATAAACACAAGGTCCCCACTCTTGGTGCATCTATGAATGGTCAGGAGGAGCTCCTGAATTTTTAATCCATAGCTCTCTCCTGACCTGGTTTTACCTCAGCGAGTTAACAGTGTCCTGTGACACCAGAACGATTAATCCAGGAAATGTTTTCATGGTCACGCAGTAGTCCCTTTCCATTGGTTCAAACATGGAGAAATTGTGAAGCGGTTGCTGTACAGATTCTGTGTACAGCATGTACATGTGTACAACTTCTGCACATGTAGACTTGGTGAAGAGGTTTAGGTGAAGAGGCCGGAGGCAGCCCACCTCATATTTTCACTATCCACAGAACTTAGTCGGCAGCATTGGGCTAATAACACATCCTATACAGCAGCTCTTTTCAAAACACCCACACTCCCGTGAGCCACTTCCCAATCAGCTGTCTGCTGAGAAACCCTTGCGCGCTTCGGGGGGGGGGTGTTCCATGATGCAGAGGGCCAGACTGGCTATTTGACCTTTCCTGAAGTTGGCATACGCAGCTTGAGAAAACATGGGATCCCGCCCACCCAGGCAGGCTGAAAGAGAGGCCTGATACTCTTGTGGACTCTTCTCAGTGAGAGAGACTGAATTGTGAACTCAAAGCAGGGAGAGGGAAACTGAGCAGATCTAGACAGAGAGAGGGAGAGATGAAGAGGAGCACCCAGGACCAGCTGCCTCTTGCCTCCTTACAGGTGGTGGAAAGAGACAGGATCCTGCCCATGGAGACTTTGCACCTTGCTGAGCGCCCTCCCACGGGCATCCTGCTCTCCAGTTTCCCAACTCACATGTATCTGAGCTCCGACTCCCTCCGCACCAGAACTTCCCGGATCCTCTCAATTTTGAAGAGCTCCCCTTCAATGTCATCAATGGTCGTTGTGGAGTCGGCCATGGACACTATCTCATTCTCTGAGGGCAAAAGGGAAAAGGAACTCAGTTAGCAGATGGGATGGGGGTGGACAGGAAAGCAAGCAATGCCATCAGTGATTGGACTGGAATCGCTTCCAATTTATGGCCACATGGCTAAGAGGTTCTGATTTCTGTCAGGCTGCCTTATATGGCCTATGTGGGACCTGTGCCCCTCCTCAACACTGTTGGACTCCAACTCCCATCAGCCTCAGCCAGCACAGTATAGAATGAGGCATGATGGGAGTTGTGGTCCAACAACCTCTGGAGAGCCACAGTTCAGTCTTCAACAGGATCTAAGAGCAGCTGATAAAATGGCATGAAAATATCACTGAGGAAATGGAGGGGGGACTGCAGAGAATTAGTTCCATAGATGGCAGCTGCTCCTCCACTCCTTCTTCTAAACTCCCCTGAGGCAGACATATTCCTTTCACAGCAGTGCCTGGGGGGCTCATTTCTCTCTTTATACCTCTAGAGAAGCACATTTCCCCTCCTATCTTCTTGACATAGTTGTCAAGAGTCTGGCAGCAATTTCAGAGTCTGCACTCTTATACTAAGATTACAGGGAATGTGCTCATCTTAGTTTTTTTTATTATAATCCCTTGTGGAATCTCTGAAACGAAACCAGCTTTGATGGAGACCAAATTATCTGTGCATGCCTTTTCCTTTCAGTGTAGGGGGAATGGCACTGTGCTATTATTATTGTGTCAAAGGTCCAAAGAACAAAAGCTTTTGCTCTAGAGAAGACCCACCAGGGAGTAGCAGTTAGGACTGGCCTGCCATTTTGACTATAGAAGGAGAGAGGCTCTCTTGGTGGAAAAGTTGCTCTCTCACCTACATCAAGCAAAGAACTCAAGCAAAGACTTGGGCGGGGGGGACGACTCCACAGGTCCTTCAATAGGCACAAGTGGGCAGGGTGAACAGTTAAGTGGCTCCTGTTCTCCTGCATGTCACAGGCACTGTCTAGTACGTGCTCATGAAATTCAAACAACTGCTCCCCAAATAAGAACGGACTCAGCAGTTGTGATTCTTGGAATGAGGGATGAAAAATACATTGTATCTGAAGAAGTGTGCATGCACACGAAAGCTCATACCAAGAACTAACTTAGTTGGTCTTTAAGGTGCTACTGGAAGGATGAAAAATAGTTATTTACTACAGTAATATTGCTGTGTACAGTTTTGGCTAAAATAATACATTGCTGCAGCAAACATGCAACCCCTGCGTACATTTCTTGCAGACACAGAAATGGACTTCAAAAGTCCTAGGAACCTTCATTGTTTCAAAGTTGAGAGTTTTTTCTTGATTTTCTTGTTTTACCTTCTTGTACAACCTAGCAGTTCAAAAGCACGTCAAAGTGCAAGTAGATAAATAGGAACCGCTCCGGCGGGAAGGTAAACGGCGTTTCCGTGCACTGCTCTGGTTCGCCAGAAGCGGCTTAGTCATGCTGGCCATATGACCCGGAAGCTGGACGCCGGCTCCCTCAGCCAATAAAGCGAGATGAGCGCTGCAACCCCAGAGTTGGTTACGACTGGACCTAATGGTCAGGGGTCTCTTTACCTTTAAACTGCTTTGAGGTTGTTGTTTTACAATCAACCATAAGAGGAGCCATTACATTAACAAACATAAAGGCTGGCTCTTTGCATAATGCCAGGCTCAGAATTCATCCTGATTGGATTAGGGCACTTCCTGCATTTGAAGTGCATTTGATCTCAAATGCATAATGAATTTTTACCACCCCAACTAAGCCAAGGGCAGCCTTGAAACACATTCTCTTCCCACCCTCACAGATGTTAGGAAGTAGCCTCATTTCAGAGTTGAATAGTTGTTCTTGTTGTTAAATTTCTTTACCATCCTTCACCTGAGGATCACAGGGCAGTTTACAAGATGAAAAAAGTTTCTATTGCTGAGTCTTGTACCCTCTGCTTTCTGGGGAAGGACTGTGCACCTGACTTGCATGTGGAAGGTCCAGGTTCCATCTCGGTCATCTCTAAGTAGGTCTGGGAAAGGCCCCAGTCAGAAAACCTGGAAAACCACTGCCAGTCTGTGTTGGCAATACTGAGCTACAGGTGGACCAATGGTCTGATGTGGTTTAAGGTAGCTTCCTGTACCTCTGTCCTTTTCCCCTACCATGTGCCAGTACTGCTATGGATATTCTTACAAACCACCCTGGAATGGGTTTGGATGAATGGAAATAAACGTTTAATAAAATGGAAAATAAAATGGAAAAAACATGGAACTACCTGAATGAATGGAGCATCTACCTGCAGCGAAAGTCTCCTGCAAAATTGCTCCTCCCTCACACACACAAATAGGAAGAATTAGTTGGCATGCAATCAAGTCTGAACCCCAACATCATCTCTCGTGCTCTGTATTTTGCACTAACTGGATCAGTCAATCCTGAAGAATATTATTCCTTTGGATTTAGGGACAGACATGCAGCTGCATTATACAAAGTGTATAAAGGCCATCTCTAGCTTCCTTGGCACGCACTAGCAGAGCCAAGTGATGAGATCAATACTTCATTACTGGAGCCAAATAACCTCCCAACACTGGCCTGTGCCAGTGAGTCAAGTCAGAGGAAAAAGCCAGCCTCTGGCCTCTGTCCCTCTTTCCTTCCCTCCCCTGATACCCTCTTGCATCTCTGCCTCCCAAAGGCTTGAACAGCTGCTTGTTGCAGCAGCCCTGGCTACAAGCTGGTGTCTCTGGGGCTGGCCAGGGGGTGCTTCTGAGGCCCCTGCGAGGCAGTGGGAGGAGGCACCTCTCTTTGGGTCAGAGGGGGCAGCTCAGAGACCAGGGATGGCAGCTGCCCAGAGCACTCCCAAGGAGAGGGGAGAGGAGAGGAGGCTGAGGAAACACTCCACAAGGGAGGGTGTTTGAAAAAGGGTGAGAGGCTGCCAGCTCTGCAGGCAAGGGGTGACATAACTGGGCTCCTGAGCCCCACAGGGATGCCTCAGGAAGAATGTAGTTGGGTCAAGGCAGCCGTGGAATCAAAAAGGTTGAAAACCTATGAGCTAAACAATGCTGTGATCATTACATGGGAAGAGAGAATGAATGAAGAAGATGGAAGTTTAAACATCTGCCTCCCGTGACTTTGGAGGAAGCAGCTGCTGTCTAGGAGCCTAGCACCACAGCCATCTCTAGCAAATCTGTTGATGGTGGCCCCTAACCCAAATGACCAATTACAGTCCAAGCATTTTAGGCTGAGTCGTATAAGATGCTAAGAACTTCATCAGGTCTTACGGAAACTTAATACAGATGAAAGACCCATCACTTCAAGGCAGATGACACACACACACACATACTAAATGCACCCCCTCTCCCATTGCACTACCAGTCCATCCTAAAAGCTATAACAGAAAATCCCATAGTTTATGCTAAGAGAACTCACAAACAAAATGCTATACAGTGGTACCTCGGGTTAAGAACTTAATTCGTTCTGGAGGTCTGTTCTTAACCTGAAACTGTTCTTAACCTGAAGCACCACTTTAGCTAATGGGGCCTCCCGCTGCCACTGCGCCGCCACTGCACGATTTCTGTTCTCATCCTGAAGCAAAGTTCTTAACCCGAGGTACTATTTCTGGGTTAGCGGAGTCTGTAACCTGAGGTACCACTGTATTCTTGTCCGGAACTGAGCTATTAACTTCACCTGCTGTGGTGGGAGTGATTAAACCACTGGCTGCCAACCCCATGCTGTCTCTAGCCTCCAGGGGGAGTAGCTCTTGGCTGGAGCCAGCTGAAGGCTTTGGGGATTGAGAGAAGGCACACCCATCCACACGATGTACTCTCAGCTTGTGTGGGAAGTACCATAGGAGCCCAAGCTGGCATGCTATTTCCAGACCTGAGCTGAGCCACCTTGCGTAATTTGCCTCATCTGCCGGGGGAATTGAACTGGTTTTGCACTTGGTGACCCACCTAACTCAGCCAAGTGCCCAGACCCACTGTTTCAAGCAACAGGGTCTTCTTTGCCGTGCAACCTGGCTGAAACAGGCAGACTTGGGCAGCAGGTCAAATGTGCTATTCTCCTGATGCCAATATGCTTCTGTGTATCATATACAGTGGTACCTTGGGTTACATACGCTTCAGGTTACAGGCGCTTCAGGTTACATACTCTGCCAACCCAGAAATAGTATCTCAGGTTAAGAACTTTGCTTCAGGATGAGAACAGAAATCGTGCTCCGGCGGCACGGTGGCAGCTGGAGGCCCCATTAGCTAAAGTGGTGCTTCAGGTTAAGAACAGTTTCAGGTTAAGAACGGACCTCCAGAACGAATTAAGTACTTAACCCGAGGCACCACTGTATATACATAATAAACACCCACCCACCAGCAGCGGATGAAGGGGAAGGAACTGCAACATCCTTGTCCTGCATGCTGCTTTAGCCACTAGTCTACACTGTACTGAGGATCTGATAAAGGCATTTGTACTGGTAAGGTGTGGCTGCTTCTCTAAGCAACAGAAGGAGATAGCTGAATTCTTGAATGGGAGTTCAAGGAGTTTTGGCATTAACTCCTTCCTGCCTGTCGCTTGCCCGGTTATGCCCATTCACAAAAATGGGGAGCTGACACAGATGGTATATAGCTGAGTAGAGAAGGAGTAAATCCTTACCTGAGTGCCTTCATGGGATATTGCTAAAAGCCTCAATGCCCCTCAGCTTCACACTTGGGGACGTGGCCTTTCCTGGAAACCCCAAATCATTTGCATTTCTCGTTTTGGCCAGTTCTGTAATGCCCACACATGCACTGAGGCATCCCCCAAGCTACTAGAGTGTGCCCAGCAGTCAAACTCCATCCACGCCAGAGGCTCTTTTTGTGAATGAACAGAGACTGGAGTGTCTGGTCCTCGGCCAGGTTTCTCTACTCATGTTTTCCCCGCTGCCTGCCACTACTCAATGCAAACTTGCTTCGTTTCCACTGCCAGTGAGACAGACAGGTGGGGTCTCATTCATATAATACACACACACACACACACACACTAATAACATCACCAGGAGTGGGGGTTTTAGGGGGTGGGATTTGAACGAGACATCCATCTCCATCTCCACTGCTGCGAAACTTTCAAGGAAGACAGAAAATAGCAGACACCCAGCAGGCAAATGTTATACTGGCACACATACACACGCATCATGCAGATCTGCAAGGATTTAAGCCCCACTTCAGGGGGTGCAGTGAGTAACAGGGAGGGAGTTGGTACTTCGCTGCTGTGCCCCAGGTGTGCAAACTAATCTCACCTTTGGCTGCATCTGCTGCTTTCCACTTGGTTGACTCCAGGGATCCGTACTGGGTGGATGCCTTGGTTTCTTTCTCCATCCTTGTCTCTTGCTTGTGGGATGTTTTCCCCCCTCTAATCTTTTTTTCTTTGTTTGTTTAAATGAGCATGATTCCTTAGGGAGAAGGACTTCTAAAGAGCACACGTTGCAGGGAAGTCAGAGCCCATCCTCTGGAAAAGGAATGATTAAATAGAGAGAGAAGCAAAATCAAAGGAGCACAGAATACAGCCAAGCCTGGTACCTGCCCAGCAGCTGCTGCCTGCTAGTTCCACACTGAGATGCTTTAGCACAGCTGCCGAAAGATGAAATAGAATCAGAGGCTGCAGGAGACTAGATGTGGCTCTGTTATGACACCAAGAGCCGCCCTCTGGTGGAGATAAGTGCAAACTACTCATCAGCAAAACACAAGATGTTGTGATAGGCACCAACTTAGATGTCTTTAAAAGGGGTGAGATGAATGTTGTGTCAGTGGGGAAACGTATATTGGGCAGCACTGAGGACTTTTTTTCCAGGAGGAGAGAAGGGTACTACTTTTTAAAGCAAATGAATGAAATTAAGCCCACTATTATGAGTGTGGGAATGTTCAGGGAGACAGGAGAGGATATATTGTTTAATTATATCCTTCCCAACTAGTTAACACTAGTTCTATAATTTAGCAGAGTAACATTCTCCTTTCTAACTTGTACAGAGGATAACGTCTTTGCCAGGCTCGTTTAAGCCTCTAAAATAAGTTTCCTGGTAATTCCCCTTTATTCCCTCATAAAAGATTAGACAGTCTTGTATAAAAGTATAAAAGAGTTTATTCACACACATTCTGTTCACAGATGGATCCCAGAAGGCAGACATAAGCTACAAAATATATACACCTGGAATCTATCCCATAAGGAGATAGCTCCTTTGTCCTCTCTTGGCTGCAAGCCAAGAGAGCATCTCAGGCTAAGAAGATGTTGCTTCTTCCAGGAATGGAGTCAGAGAGAGAGATGTCTGCATCCCTTGTGCTGTTTTGTTACCTGTATAGGTGAGGTCACGCCCATCTCTGGTCACATGTAGAGGAAGTCTGTCCCAGCCCAGGAGGAAACAGGAAGTTCCAACTGGCTGGTCCAGACACCCCCTTTTATGTCCACTCTAGAAATGATGTATTTGACTGCTCTGTGTTTCACATCCCACAATGAGGACATTAATAAGCAAACCATTCAAAAGGCACTTTGAGTACTGTACAGGGCTTTAGAAGTGGTTCCTTAAAATCAAGGCAGCTAAGATGCAAATGTTTCATTTAGCTATGGAGCTTCTAAACTGACCTTCTTGTAAATAGATTCCAGAGTAGTTTGCAAACATTAAATAATCAACCAGTAAAATACAATTAAAATCATAAATCCTACACCAACATTTCTAAAAACTCTCACAGATGAAGCAATAAAACAACCCAAATTCGTGGAGGAAAAGGCTATATATGGGCTATATATGCCCATGGTGGGGAATCTTGAGAGTGAGAGTGACATTGTACTCATACCCTTCTTGCGGGCTTCTCATAGGCATCTGGTCAGTGTGAGAATAAGATACTGGACTAGTCAGGTCTTTGGTCTGATCCTGCAGGCGTCTTCTTATGCTTCTGAGTAAACTCAGCTGATTGGCGCTTTTCAAACGGATCCCTGATCTAAGTTGCAATTTGGCTGTGTTCAAAACCTTCCCCTAGATACCATGGAGCAAAGTATCAGATAAGTTACAGACTCATTTGTGTTTTTTATACCCTCTATTCATCTCTTCCGCATGTCGCTGAGGAAGAAGGTAGCAAGAATTCTCTCTTCCTCTGACAACACTTCTATAAGCTCAGTCTCCAAAATGAATGCACCTTTGCCTTTGGGTTGCTTTCTTTAGGCCAGGTTCCTCCTGAAGCTTTATTAGCTGCATAAGTAGGAATTCAACAGGTGAGGCTTTTGTCATCACCACACCTGGCCTCCTACCCCAAACCATCAACCTTCTTGTGTCTATTTCCCTGCTTCCAGCTACCACAGCAACTGGCTTAAATCTCTCTTCCCTTTGGCTTTCTTCTAATGCGACATTGGTGGAAACAACAAATAGTCAAGTTTCATCTTCCTCTTTTATTTGTACAGTACTTCCTTTGAGTGCGACTTGTAATGACTCACCTGCCATAAAATATGCAAGTGAAGAGCTATTTACATTGATTGAGAGCTATTACGGATTTCTGCTTTTCACCAAAACCCTGCAAGTTCCTTTATTTAATGCCTCAAAAGTATTTAGTCATTAGAATGTAAGAGCCTCACTAAATCAGATCAAATATCTATTTTGTCCAGCTTCCTGTATCCCACAATGGCTCAACAGAAGCCTCCGGGAAGCCCAGCATTTTCACTACTTGAAATGTCTTGGTTGCTCAGTCATGTGGCTTTCTGAAGTTGCTTTGCAGACAGATTGGAGTAGGAGAGTGTCCATTGTCTTTCTTGTTGATAGTAGGCTGTCTAGACTACATGTTCCAGCCTGCTGCCTACCTAGACTTGAACATACAGCATCCTGAATTAAAGATACAGCATACTGTAGTGTGTCAACTATTAGCATACACACTATGCTTTCTTTCTTGTTACAACCACTCATTCACAGGGCCTTAAGAGCTCGTTTGAATGTGTATGTGTGTTCACTTTAACATTGGGCTGCCTTAGGTACTGCTTGTTGAAATTCCACCCTCTTAGGTCCACCTTTCCACCAGTTCCACAGGGTTCTGCCAGGTAATCACTGGTATAAAGTCTTGACTTTCATGTGGCTGGGGAAACCCAGCCAGATGGGTGGGGTATAAATAATAAATGATGATGATGATGTGGTTCAAGCATATGGATAGAGGTGTAGACATTTTCAAACTCAAAATGCTTGTCCCAAATCAAAGGCCCCTGAGTAAAGTTAGAAGTCATGGGATAAGAAGGCTCAGAGATTACTGAGACAAAGCTTTTGAGTGACTCTCAGAGTTAACTAAGAGCAGAGTTCAAATGCAGCACAGCAACTTTGAATCTTTCCAGAGGGCTTGGTGCCATTCTGGTGACAAAGCACACCAATGCACATTAACATAGGCCCCTCAAGTAAACAGAAATGCTGACATGCATTTAGATTCCTACGCAAAGGGTAGTGTAGGCCAGGATAGGTCTGGATGCTCTAGTAGTTGAACAGGCAGCAAATTGTAAAGAGGCATCAAATCAGTCTGTTTCTAAATAAATGTCGAAACAATATCCTCCCTATAAATCCAGCTACAGTATTTAGTTTTAAAAACCAAACATAGCTGACCATACTGGGGAGAAATGCCACTTTCTGGCCTATGGGTAGTGGATTTTAAAATATTTGGCTTTATGTTTTCATGAGCTAGCCTTTTGAACATCTTCCTCCTGAGCACAGTGTCCTCAGATGCTGTATCATTTTTTGGTGCGAATGCAGACTACTTGTCAGATAGTAGGAAGGTATGGCAAACCTCCATAGAGAAACATATTGGCTGTTTCCTGTTAAAGTAGAAACACCTGCAAGCTTATTATTGCATCTTAATTACATACATAAAAGCTAGGAGGCTTAGCCAATGAAAATGACTCATCTCACTAAATGAAGCATCACATGGAGCTCTCAGTGTGTGTCATCTCAGATTTGTTTGGACTGTTCAACTTTGCATGGAAAGAGCACAGAGCAACAGTTAAATTAAGAAGATATTTGAAGGCTAAAGAGGCAGTCCCCTTTCCTGGAATGAATATAACCAAGAGCAAAAATGAAGGTATGTATAGCAACTTTTAGAGATTTATTCCAGGCAATTTACAAGTATGAGAATTTAAACTCATAATATTTGTGAGAGCTAGGCCTGAGTTTATGAGTCTGTAGATTACTGAGTATGCTGTCAGTATCAAACAAAAGGTGCTGGGCGGAACTGGTAGAAGCAAATAAGAAAGTTCAATTCACAAGTAAATTTCTCTTATACACTTGACATCATATTTCTCATACCAACCAGGTAAATATTTGCCTTTGACTTCTGTATCAATCAATATTTATTCATATCTCTGTTTAGCAGCAAAAATATATCAATGCCTTCAGTTTATCAGGAAACATATAAGGAACCCTAACGATCTATAAAAGAAAGTCAAATTCCTAATCGTTGCATTATCAAGTAGTAATAGTTCCTCATGAATAGCCAAGACAAAATTTAATTCCAGTGGTTCTCATCACAATAGGCATTTTACATACTGGAAAAATGAAGAGCAGTATTATAATATAGTAGCAAAATAAATGAAGTTACTTGAATAGAAGATCAACACATGTTCCATCAAAGAGATTCAGTTTTTGAATTGCCTCATAATGTATTGATGGGGCGGGGGAGAGATGAAGAAATTACACAGCTGCTTTTAAAACGAAATTTCGTGCATGCACACGAAAGCTCAAACTTAGTTGGTCTCTAAGGTGCTACTGGAAGGAATTTTATTTTGTTTTGACTACAGCAGACCTGTAACTAGCTGCTTTTAGCTATCTGACAGAAAAGGGCAAAATGAGACCAATTTTCTAAAAGCTAAGTAAACGCTACTTAAAGCATAGCTGTCAACTTTTCCCTTTTCTTGCGAGGAATTATAAAACATGAATTTTTATGCCTTAAACATACCAGATCTCAAACTTGACTGTAAATTCCTCACTGCATGTCTTTTGTGAGAATGTTTGCCGATTATGCTGAATCTTTTGAAGAACCTGGAATGAGTTGTACATAACAAATACACAGAAATAGAAAATTTCTCTCAGTTATACTCCTGTCAATGCATCTCTTTGGAGACATGGCACTGAGGCAATCTGTGAGACTCTATGCAAGTCACAGAAAATTTGAATTCCTGCAAGAAATCACATCCAGTGGAAATAATTGCAAGTCTTCTAAACAACACATTCAGCCTTATCAAGTTACAACCAACACCTAGTGCTTGGAAAAGGTTTCGGGAGAAGGCAAACACTGAGAGGTGTTACAGAAGGAAATTTCTATGGTTACAAAGATAAAAGCATGTCTTGGTAGAAGGTGATGCAATCAGCACACCATATTATATGTTATTTGACCTGAACTCTAAAAACATTCAACAGAGGTTGCAATTTTGCAATTTGAAATGAAAACCAAACACACACAGCTTAGTTTCCAGATACCAGGCAGTTTGAAAAGATGACAATTAAAAATGTTTATTTACTTGCAAACCTAACTAAAATAATTATGGGATACCGAGATTAAAACAAAACTGAACTAGACTCCTGTGATCAATGCACAAGAGCAGAATAAATTCAAAAGATCAGGTAGCACATTGCTACTATAACAT